AAAATAAGTTAGAATAATCAAAACACTTTGGAATCAATCACTAAAAGCCAAGAGTCTTTGGTTGATCAAATCATTGCAAGGTTGTCTGGACTAAATCAAATGAATGTTCCTGGGGTAGGGGCATATGAGGGGATGGTTGTACCACCTACTCCTCAGTTGGTTATTTCACTTGGAATCTTACTAGGACATCAGGGGATTCATATGCCGCAAATGCACAGGCCATTGTAACCAACCCTCAAAATAATTCGTATTATTACCATACGCCATAGTTTGATAAGGAAGTCAAAGCAAAGATGGTAGAAATGACCATTAAGCAAGGAAAGACAAAAAGAGGTAGACCGAGTAGAAAACCTCCCATGAAGAAGAGAGAATGAGAGATCAACAACATCAACGCTTTCAAAACCAATAAAAGCGTTACAATCTCTAAATCAAAACCAACTGCAACTGTACCATCAGGTACTTCTAGACATGATTCAAAGGAACAAAGGAGAGAAAGAGGAAATGAGCATTTTGATCATATTCCCATGATATATAAGGAGCTTTATCAACAACTTTTTGACACACATGTGGTGTCACCATATCCAGAGAAACCTCTAAATCCCCCATACCCAGGCAGTATGACGAAAATGCACACTGTTAATATCATGGTGGTGTTTTCATACCCCAATTTATGGGACAAATTATAAATTTCTGAAACTTATAGTTACTTTTAGAAGTTGTAGAAAATTCAGGGACCTGTCCCTAAATTTTACCATTTTATATCGGTAGAGGAAAAATATATATGTTAAAGTTTGGTTTCTGGTTTCAAACTAGAAACAAAGCACAACCCTAAATTCCTCTAAATTATCTTCCCATCGACCCCTCTTTGTCACCCCGATTCTCTACCTTCTGGCTATTGTTCGGCTCATCGCCACCACCACTTGTCGATCGACGACTAAAACCCAAGTGTTATTGCGTCATGAAATATCGCCGTTCGTCATAATTTTGGCTCTAAAGTGGGTGATAAAATCTTCCCTCAATGCTTTTATTTTTTTCTATTCCATTTGATCTGGCCACCCGTTCATCACATCACCTGCACCATCAGACTCATCGTCATCGTACGCTCAAAACTCGACCGAAATTGTTTGCCGTTGTTACTCCGTCATCGTCATCCGTCATGTTTCGTTGAAAAATAACACTTACACAAGACTCCCGGGGTGTCGATCTACAAATCTGAAAAAATTTCACATCGAACCGACGACTAGAGCCGCCGCACGCGCCTCTCCCTACGCGTGGGAGTCATTTGCCAGCCAGGGAGCATGTTGACCGGCTGAACCGGTCTGAACTGGTTGGATCAAGCCGATTTGATAAATCACATTCTAAATAACTGATAAATGTCTGAATACAATATGATCCTGATAAATCATGTTTTGAATAACTGATGATTCCGTCAGCTAATGAACTCTTCCAACAATGATTCTAACTTCCGGCATTCTATTAGTATATTAAAGATTCGTGTTTCTCTTCCCGATAAGAATATACAGTATCTGCGAATAATATCTAGAACTTTTAGTGTGTTCCCTTATAACATGGATGTTTTCTCTGATTTATGTTCTGATTTATGCCCTGATTTCTGATATCTCTAATTATCAAATGAAAATGTTTTATTTAAGGTACTCTAGGATCTGGTATAAAACTTTGGCAGGTTCAGACACTGCGGGTAATTCCTTTTGTAGGTTATGCACCGACTGGTAATTCCTATCTCTGGCAGGTTTAGTCGCTATTGGTAATTCCTTTTACAGGTTCAGCACCGACTAATAATTCCTTATGGACCTAAGGCAACCCTTGGGTAGGCTCTGAAGCCCCAAGAATCTTTCTTGGGTAGGCTCTCAGGCCTAAGGTGCTCCTTAGGTTATGTAATTCTGGGGAACTGCATATGACGTTCGGTTGGAGGGTTTTACTATGGTTTTTGAAAAATACGTTTTATATTACTACTGTTTCAAAAAGAACTGTATCATTTCACTGGTTTTGCTAGAACACACTAGATAACATATTCTGATCTCCTGAACTCAGTCATCCAAAATATTTCCTTATGAACGGAAAGCTTAATGTCTGTTACTACCTGAGATATCACTGGGACCTCATTTCAACCTAAAAATCTATAGATGTCTGAACTAATAAGGAAATATATGCTTATATGTTATCTGATTGTTCTTCAGCATTATATGGTAGTTCTGTATTACTGAGCTTCCCGAAGTTCACTCTGATACTCACCTTTTCAGGTTAAAAAATCATACCAGTGCATCTATCAACATCAGTAAGGGAGTTCTTCCGGCGTTGCTTACAGAGTATGGTACATGTGATTAGGGGGCATGCGTGTTGTATTTTGTTATATATACGAGTCTGAAAATCTGAATTATTTCGGATTACTGATAAATTTTACTTTTGTATTTATAAATCATTTTATGAGTTTACATGTTTTAAAAAAGTTTTAAATTTTTTGAGATTTTTAAGGTGTGTCGCTCCGATGGCCCTAATGTGACACCTCAGATCAGATCGAGTTACCCACATCGTTTTGAGGGGGTTATAGGTGTTCTGGGGCATGCTATTGAAAACTGCCTCGCCTTTAAAAGTATTATCCAAAGAATACGCAACATGAACTGGATTCATTTCAACAATTAAGAATCACCCAATGTTGCACAGAACACTCTGTCTAATCATCAAGAGAATGACGAAAATGCAATCACAAAGGGGAAGGGTAAAACTAGAGTTTCTGAAGTGAATTCACCTCTTGCTTGGGTATGGAGGTAAATGATAAATGCGGGGTTTCTTGCACCGCATCCTAACACATCAGATTGTAAATGTGGCAGTCAGTTTTGTTATCACAATGAGGAGGGACATGATGTATAAGAATGTTTCGAATTTAGAGCCTTAATCCAGCTAATGGTGGACAGAAAAGACATGGAGTTTTACGATGAAAGCAAGGACACTCCCGAAGCGAATGTTTGTGCAACTGGAGATGCATCTGAAAAGTGAATCAAGGAACATGGCATCTTAGGACGAGACAAAAGGAGATCATCACTATTACCATAGAGTTGTGTTGTCTGTGAAATAATGTCCTGTTTGAATTTATCTTTTATATGCTTGAACCTTTTTTTTTAAATGACATTTCTTTGGGTAATAAAGAATTGTTTGAAATTTAGCGAATATCAAGTATAATGAAATGTACATTTGAGAAATAAGGTTATAACCTTTTGACATATGTCGATATCAAATTCCTTTTAAAAAATCAAGATCCATATCTTTTACCCAAAAAAAGAAAAAATGTTTTCTCAAGCATACAAGTATTGAAGTAAACAAGATGGGGCATCTCTGATGCATGACATTACAAGACCAGTTAGTTTGTATGTCTGTTAAGGACGTTCCATGATGATTTTCAAATTTGGCTTAGATTAGTTACTTAGGAATTTAGCTCTAACGATGAAATTTTTTGATTTCCACTAACACTCAGACTATAACAGATTCTTATTGACAAACTTAGGAAATCTCAAAATCAAAGAATTAATGCGATATTAATGAACTATAATTTTAACAATGCTGGGGGTACTCCGCTAAAAGTAGTAGGTTGTTAATCTTCAGAGGTAATGTCTGAAGCAACTATGGTGGTAATGTATGAGCTTTATTAAGTGAGTTTCGTCTGAGTTTGTCAAGTCGAAGACTTTCTGACACTTGAATCCTTTAGTTAAGGGTATTCTGCTAAAGTAATGGGTAATGTTAAGTTCCCTAACTTTATGAATACGAGTACATTCAGATCATGACACTAGTCTCTATGTGTTGAGATAAATCTCCCAGCAAAATCTAAAGCGAGGACATCAGGTTTAATAGAAAGGCGATGAGGCCTGAAATAAATGGGGATTTGAAATTAAATTTTGATGAAAGGTGGACTAAGGGAGTCATTAAACATTTATTATAGTTGATTACACAAAAACACTCAAGGTTTTTGTTTTTAGATTGATATTTCGGCGTTATCTCTGCTTAAGGAGTCTACGAAACATGAACAAATGGAAGATTCATGAGAACTAAAATAGAAATGCTCTCTAAAGCGCCTTAGAGTGAAATGCATATGTTGCGCTATTTTATTCATATCCTATTTGAAAAGCATGAAAATAAAAGCCAAATCACATTGACTTCTCATATCTCCCATGGATTTTAACACTAGTCAAATGGCTATAACTTTTGAAAACTTGTTTGATTCGTTTATTTGATATTTAGTGAACTAATACTTTGCTTCGATTGCTCTGACATCATTTTTATACCAAAGCTTTTAAAAAAGGGAGATATTTCTCAGACAAGACATTGTTTCTCGAAAAATTGGTCGAAGGACCTGAAACGACATGGGGCATCTCCAGGTTTCCAATCTCTTCTCTGTCCACCACTCGTGGCTCATGATGTGGTTCATATCAAAACAGAGCTTGACGTTGTGAAGAAAAAGGTAGTGTTACAATACATGGCCAGACGTGATATGATAACTTCCTAAAAATGCTACTTTTAAGGCATTTTCCACATAAATTAATATTTGTTTAAAAGCTCATTTTAGGTTCATATAGTTGCATTTGTGGTGGTATTGCTATTTTATCGTTTAAGGATATTGTATGAGAGAAAGATACAATTATTTATGGTGTACAGGAAATAGCAAACAGAAGGTTGCACTGGGAAGTAATACCATGACATTACACGCTACTGAAGTAGATTGAAATGTCTTGGCATTTCTAGCAAAGAAACAGACAAAAAGATATTTCTATAAAAGGACAGCTGGCACATAATGTGAATGATTGCTGTAATTACCTACTTGGGACAACTGCCACCTGGAAGGATAAGACTCATGCCTAAAGGGTGACTCTAGGGGTATGAGGGGTATTTTGAGCGTAACAACCTCATCATTACCCTTAGATATTTTTATTATATATTACACCTCACATGAAAGAGAAAAGAATAAGGAATTTTGAGCAACATTTTCTTACCTTTTTACCGAATACTTTTCTTCTTCCTTGAGTGGTGTTCCTCCATTGATAAGCTCCAAGGAATGGCGAGCTATACGTCCGAGTGGAGCTAGTGAGCTAAGGCGAGTCTTGGTGGTTGAGGAAAGCTCCGGTGGCATGCGTCGAAGGCTTCTTCTCCCTTCCCTTTGTTGTTATTTTTCATTTATTATTGGGTTGTTTAGAACGAATATATTTCATGGCTTGTTTCATGGATGATCAGAACCCCACCATTGATTAGAGATAACGGGAGCATTTTTAGCAAACCCTATCGAGTAAGTGAAGTTTAGATAGATTAAATCTACCTGAGAGATAAGTTTTAGCATCCTTAAATCAATCCCTACCATTTATTCTAGTGGAAGCTTGTTGTGTGTGGATTATCAACTTATCGTTTATTTGATGTTTTTACTGTTTTTCATTGCCTTGACATTTTAACCATTTTCAATATTAACAATTTGTTTTCCACTACATTTTCATTTGCTACCTCATCAGAATATAAATCCATATCCACCCACTTCTACTTTCCATTGCCGTGACATTTTATATTAGTACATATCAACACTAACTATACTTAGATAGAGTAGTGCTTTGCTTTGGTTAAACTTTTGTAATTTCAACCAATCCATGTGGAGACGATGCTCACTCATCACTTTATTACTTGAGAGATTGTGTATACTTGCACATTAGTTGCTTATAATTTTATAGTACTCACAACACGCAATAATGTTTTGGCACTGTTTCCGGGGATTGGCAGCGTGAAGTTAATTAGTTTTGTTAGAGCATTTTTTTTTGCACTTTTATTTGTGTATAGTTTACTTGATATTTTTGTTTTATTATTTTTAAGGTTTATTTAGTTTATGCCTAGAAGACATTCTGAAGAACCATTGGAACTAATAGAACCTGAGATTGAAAGATTCTTTAGACAAAGGAGACATAATCAACATGCTCGAGGAAATATGTAAAAAAATTGGAAATGAGGGTATTGGTGAAGATGACAGAATTCCAAATATCGACGCATTATAAAATGATGAACCTACTGATAGGCGTCGTGTTATTCGAAATCATTTAAATCCGATGCTAGATGATTTGAATCCTAGAATTGTGGAACTCGAAATTCAAGATGCATAGTTTGAGCTTAAACCAGTTTGGGGGCATGCCAACTGAAGATGTTAGGCAATATATTCGAAATTTTCTAGAAGTTTGTGATTCTTTCCGCCAAGAAGGAATGCATGAGGATGTTATGAAATTAAAGATGTTTCTGTATTCATTACATGACCGAGCAAGGGCTTGATTGAGTGGTGTTCCATCCGGTTTGATGAAATCATGGGCTGATATTTGAAAGAGTTTCTTATTGTGGTATAACCCACCGAACATGAATACCCAACTAAGGAATGACATAGCTTTCTTTCGCCAGGGCGATGACGAATCCATGTATGAGTGTTGGGATCGTTACAAGAGTTTGCTTCAAAAGTGTTCAAATCATGGTTTTCACGATTGGAATCCAGTAGTTATGTTTTATAATGGAGTCAATGCACCCACGAGGATGATGCTGGATGCCTCGGCAAATGGGACACTGCTGGATAAATCACTTACTGAGGCGTTTGCTATTTTGGACAGAATTACTAATAATGACTATAAATTTCCTTCCACAAGGCTTGGGAGTGGGAGGAAAGCACCTGGAATATTTGAGTTAGATACCAAGGATTCAGTGTCTGCTCAACTCTCAACTATCACTAATATGCTAAAAAATTTACAACGTTCCACTGAAGTGAAGAAAGTGAAAGCAACTAGCTTGGCATGTCTTTTATACCAAGGCAATCATCACGAGAGTGAATGCCCGACCAACCATGAGTCAATCAACTTTGTAGGTAATTTCAATCGAGGTAATAATAATACTTACTCTAACACTTATAATGCTGGATGACATCAGCATCCCAATTTCTCTTGGGGAAATCAAGGATCCCACAATACTAGTCAACCCACTCGGCAGTAGAATCACAATGAGCCTCAAGGTTACCAAAATGTTAATCCATGGCATAATACCAACAAAGGAGCTTCATATTCAACGAGCATTAGTTCATTAGAATCTATAATTCAAGAATTCATATATACTATGAAGACAATGCTAAAAGACCATTATACTTCAATTAAGAATCAATGAGTTTTACTTCATAGTCAAGGTGCCTTATTTTAAAGCCATAACTCATCTTTGAGAGCTTTAGAAGGTTAAGTTGGTCAAATTGCTATGGTATTGCAAGAATGTCAGCAAGGACGTTTGCCAAGTGACACTGAAGTCACTAAAATGCATGGAAAAGAGCATTATAATATGTTAACTCTAAGGAGTGGAACACAAATTAACCAACAAGTCAATGTTAGTAGGACACAACATGATGACTCTACTACCACTACTGAAATGGGTGAAACTAAATTGCATGATGATATCATTTTTGAGAAGGACAAGGAGGAGGGTTCTGATGCCAAGGCAAAAATAATTCCTATTCTTGCAGTTAAGGAAGCTAGACGTCTACCACCCTTCCCGCAAAGATTGAAGAAACACAATGATGAAGTTTAGTTCAAGAAGTTTGTGGACATTCTTGATCAGCTCCATATTAGCGTACCTCTCTTGGAAGCTATTGAACAGATGTCGACTTATGCCAAATTTCTCAAGGAAATTTGCACCAAGAAGTGGAAAGTAGAGACTTATGAGACATTTAACACGGTAACATAATTTTGTTCTTCATTGAGTAAGTTACCGCCAAAGCAAAATTATCCGGGAAGCTTCATTATTCCCTATTTCATTAGAGCTAATTTCGTTGGAAAGACACTATGTGATTTGGGTTCAAGTGTAAACTTAATGCCGAAATTTATATTCTTGAAGCTTGGCATAGGAGATGCAAGACCTACATCGATTATTTTAACACTTGCTAACAAATCCTATGTTAAACTTGAAGGAAGAGTCAATGATGTCATAGTAAGGGTGGATAAGTTTGTGTTTCTAGTCTACTTCTTAATTTTGGATTACGAAGTTCATGCCAAGGCACCTATCATTCTGGGAAGACCTTTCCTAGCCACTGGTCGTATTTTGATAGACTGTGAAAAAGGTAAACTCACCATGAGAGTGGCTGATCAGTGTGTGACTGTCCATGTGTATCGAACCCTCAAGTATGTCGATGAAACTAAAGAATGCCAAGACATTTATGAATTGAACTCAATAATTGAAGACTTTGCCAGGGCATCTTAAATATGTTTACTTGGGTAGCGATAACACTTTACCATTGATTATTTTTTCTAACTTTACTACTAACCAAGAGAAAAGTTTGTTAAGTGTTTTGATGCAGCATAAGAAAGCGATTAGTTGGACTATGGCTGACTTGAAAGGAATTAGTCCCACAATTTGCATGCACAAGATTCTGCTTGAAGATTGCCATGGAAATTCAATAGAACCACAAAGAAGACTCAACCTTGTTATGAAGAAAGTGATAATGAAATAAATTCTTAAATGGCTTGATGTTGGAGTGATTTACCCTATATCAAATAGCTCATGGGTGAGCCCTGTATAATGTGTTCCGAAGAAAGGAGGCACGACTGTGGTTACTAATGAGGATAATGAACTATTACCCACTCGCACTGTTACTTGATGGAAGGAACCATTTTCCTCTACCTTTCATTGACCAAATGTTGGATCGATTGGCAAGCAAAGCATTCTATTGCTTTTTGGATGGGTACTCAGGGTACAATCAAATTGTCATCGCACCAGAGGACGATGAAAAGATTACATTTACTTGTCCTTATGGCACTTTTGCCTTTAAGAGGATGCCTTTTGGACTCTGTAATGCCCCGACAACATTTCAACGTTATATGCAAGATATATTTTCAGACATGGTTGAGGATTTTATGGAGATTTTCATGGATAATTTTTCTGTTTCTGGGGACGATTTTGAACAATGCCTCGGTAATTTGGTAAAATTTCTCAAAAGATGTGAGGAGGTTGATTTGGTCTTGAATTGGGAAAATGTCACTTCATGGTGACTGAAGGCATTGTGTTAGGCCACAAAATATCTCACAAGGACATTGAGGTCGATAAAGCAAAAATTAAAGTAATTAAAAAATTGCCACCACCAACTTCAGTCAAGGGTATTAGGAGTTTTCTTGGACATGTTGGATTTTATCAAAGATTTCTAAGCCCTTGTGCACATTGCTTCAACAAAACCAACCCTTTGTGTTTGAAGAGTTATGCCTTGACACATTTACTAAGCTGAAACAACGATTGATCTCGGCACCTATTGCAGTTCCTCCTGATTGGACATCACCATTTGAGTTATGTGTGATGCAAGTGATTATGCCGTAGGAGCTGTTTTAGGGCAACACCAAGGTAAACGTTTTCATGTTATATATTACTCTAGCCGCATATTGAATGAAGCACAATTGAACTACACTACTACTGAGAAAGAATTACTAGTCGTGGTATTTGCTTTTGATAAATTTAGACCATACCTAATAGGTACTAAATTTATTGTTCACACTGATCATTCGACTATAAAATACTTAGTGAACAAAAAGGTTACAAAGCCTAGACTTATTAGGTGGATCTTACTTTTGCAACAATTCGACTTAGAGGTGGTAGATAGAAAAGGTACTGAAAACCAAGTTCTTGATCATTTATCTAGGCTAGAGAATAATTCTGAATGACATGGCACTGTAGATATTCAAGAGGAATTTCCTGATGATAAAATTTTATATGCCATTGCAATACAATGGTATGCTGACCTTGTTAATTTTCTTGTTAGTGGAATATTGCCTTTTGATTTTGACAGCCAGGGTAAAAATAAGTTCAAGCATGATGCAAGGTATTATTTTTAGGATGAGCCATATTTGTTTAAGCATTGTGCTTATCAACTCATTAGACGATGTGTACCTGAAGAAAAACAACGCGATATTCTATACCATTTTCATTCAGCCCCAAGTGGAGGCCATTTTGGAGGAGCAAAGACTGCTGCTAAGGTCCTACAATCAGGCTTTTATTGGCCAACTTTGTTTAGAGATGCTCAGGCATTTTACAAATCTTATGATCGACGCCAACACACTGGAAACATATCACAAAATGAAGGAACCATTCCCATCT